AGCGTGTCTCAGTCCTTTACCCACAAAAGCGGCTATAACTTTTTTTTCCTATTCGAAATAGTAAGAGTGGTACCTTTCTCAAATATTTATTAAATGAACAATTTTTTTATGTAATGTAAAGTTATAGCTCAGTACATTTTTTTTCACCAGAGATAGTCAAAGTTGGGAAAGAAAATATCAAAAAGATAAAAATCCCGAAATAGTCCTAATTTTTTGATGGTTTCTTAATATATTTTAACTACATTCCATTTGAATATGGAGAAGCAACTATCTGGAAGTATTTTACATAAAAAATTTACTAAGTATAGCCTGATTTGTAGATGCAGTTAAAGAAAATACATTAAAAGGCACGATTTTTTTTTAATTCAAAAAAATGTAACTAATTCAAAAACGGTGACACTTTTACCTGAAAAATTTTTGCTTATCAGGGAGCCAAAGTTAACTCCAAATGTTAAATGGGGACGATTGTGTTTTCCAAAAAGCTCTTTTTCATTTAACAAGTTAAATGGGACCAATTTGAACGTAATATAACTCAAGGGAAATTTATATGTACTTAATGCCGTTAATTATTTGAAAGAGCCGTTGGACAAGTTTTGAGTTAAGTTTATTAGTTTTATATGCATATAATATAATAATTCAGGAGATTCGAAGTTTTTCTAGAAGTGTTAAGTAACAAAAATACAGCATAATTTATCAGGGAGTACCTCTTTGGTAATTTTGTTATAATTTAAACCAATCACAAACATTATGAGTATGGGTGCATTCGAAAACGTCAAAATACAAAGCATCAGTCTCTTTTATTCCTTAACCTCAGTAGATTGTAATGCCAAATGTGCGCAACCACGGTTAGATATTAGTTTTCAACTAGGTTGCGCAAGTTAGACTTTTTCTTATAGTGCGGTTTATAAATACTGATTGAATGCATGCTATATGTATGTAAGTTTAGAATCGTTTGTGTATTTAAACAGTTATTCTCAGTTTTCAAAAGTAATGCAAATTCATGATTTATTAATAAAAGTTTTGCTCACTAGTGGCATTCGAGTTTTGGCACTCCCTTACGAAAGGTTGCACACACATACGCACCCACACAAAAGGCCTTGCTAAGGGAGCCGATTTTGTCAAGAGGGAGCGAGGAAATTGTTTTCTGAGCAGACCACAGTTTTTCAGTGCAAGTTTAAATTTAGATCAGCTGGCTGACATTTGATTGGCTAAACTTGGTTAAAACCAGCCGGCTCTGGCATTTAAACTAAGTATAAAACAGTTGGCTCTTAGTGTCAAAAAATGTTGGTCTTTTTATTTGTACATAAGCAAAAATAGTGATGAACACACATCTTCAGAACTTTCTCTTCTTGTAGAGAAAAGTTATGAACCATAACTAGCTAATCTAATTTGCTTTATTTTTCGGGATATTTATTTTAAATATAAGAATGATTTTGACGATTTTTTTCACGTTTTGTCACACGTTAAGTGTTAACTTAAGCTACACCATTTATTTAAGAAGTTCGGAATAATTCGTCCGAGTATTGTAAACAGGGCTCGGATTTTTATGCAATGTCATCTTTTTCTGTATCTATAAAGAAAATCCATTCTTAGGTCCCAGATCCAATAAATGAGAAATTGTGGGTAATATTTTTCCATTTTAATATGAGGGTAATTTTTAAGATTTAAGCTTTAAACTTTTTGGATTATTTTTGTCCCAGTTTTAGCAATTTAAAGGGATTTTTACTTTATTTTTGAAATTCATCATACATTTTTTTGTGAAATCTTTTTCCAGCAAATTGTTACATGTTTGAAAGTGAAAACCCGTCGCTTTGACCAGACAAAAATAATAAATTGAGTTTTACAAATGTAATATAAATGGGCGGACAAATCTATTCTTAAAGGGCTGCGGTTAAAAAATGGAAAATATCTTGAGTAGTTTGTTTTTCATGCACCTTAAAAATAACGAAAAATTTACTTATTCGGTTTATTCATTTGAATAGGTATATGTATACATTGAAAAGAGCAGAAAATAAGATTTAATCAAAACAAGTTATTATTAACTACTAGCCAATGCCCGCTTACTTCGCGGCGCCTAATAAGAGCTTTTGCGTTAGCCAATGCAAAAGAGCGTTTTAAAACAAAATTAGTCTGTAAAGTCAAAGTTTTTGATTTAAGTTGAAACCACTAAGGCGCAGTATCCTCCTCACTCATAGGCAAATAGTAGTAACGCTGTGATACCATATGGAATACCAATCCCTTTTGGTGTCATGAGCTTTACTGATGGTCTTATTTTCACCTGTGAGATCTCTGCCAATCATGCGTAATCTTTTTGTATGATCTTACGTATGCCAATAAAAGTTCTTATAGGGAAACTCAAGAGCACAGAAGTGCATTTCTTTAGAGGAAGGCCAAGAATCCTCGCTGTCCCATAGGATGAAAAGTTTTCCGGTACATTGCTAAATGAGTAGTGTGATCTCTTAAGTATCTTTCAAATGAAGCAGTTGATATACCTACGGTGATCTTTCCTTGTTAATTCACCACTTTTACAATTCGTGGTAAAATTTATGAACTGATTTCAGGGTAGATGCAAGACCGCATGATCGTGCATGAGGGCGTCAGAAAAACTTAACCCCATGCTTCATTTAAACATCTGAAAACTAAATTCGTATAACTTAAACATAGGTCCAAAGCAGACCAACCACACGGGGTTTCTATACATTTCGGCTGCAGCGCCAACCATTGGGCTTATTTTCCGCAAAACCATTGCTTACCATAAAATGAATACGTGTTACGAATTTCTACCTTAACTCCAGCGGCAATAATCGGGTAAATTTTTATCAAAAGAATTTTCCATCATACAGGAATATAGCTCACATTTAAAATTTGAACGAAATCGGTTAATAAATACGATTTTTATAAATAACTCTACTCCAGCACCACCTAGCGAGTTTTATAGTAGCATTTAATTGTACCATATATGTATGTAAGATAACCTCCGACAATCTGACGGAACCTCTATTCAGTGTTTTTTGAGTTTATTCCGAACAACGAAAACGGCTATCATTTTCCCATTCTTTGTGAAAAACTTAAAAAAATTCTTCAAAATTTTCACAAAAATTTTACCTTACTGAAAATTAAAGACAAAGTTACAATAGTTCAATGGGATTTATAAATCTAGGAGAAAATGGTTCCCAATCGAGTGATACTTGCGCGTTTACGTAAATGTATATCAACCAGCCTTTCCAATAATTATCACTTTTCGCCATAACTACGGTATTGATAACATATGTAGCTGTGTAGAATTTCAGGACGTTAGCGTAAGCAGTTCCAGACATAAGCTATATGAGAAGTTCAGTTTGCATGGAAGGAAGGAGCCACGCCCCCTTACCCAATGCATTTGCAATATATGCATCAGTGCTAAGTTTCAGTTCCCCAGCGTAATTGGTTTTAGTGATATATTGGTTTTTTACGTTTTAGTCTGTATAAGAATTTTAGGAATATCCCGAGCTAAATACCGAGTAAAT